GCGGACCCAGGACCGTTCCTTGAAGTACGCCACTCGTGATCGAGTGGGGTGTCGAGTAGCTATTACCGACCATGACTTTCTGATATCGGTTGGACAGATAGGACCTGATGAAGTCGAGTAGAGGCGGCCGGATGCCGAGAGCTTCTAATTTTACTAAAAGACGTCTATGGGGCACCTTGTCAAAGGCTTTGCTAAGATCAAAGTAAATAACTACCACTGACTGCCGTTCTTAACGAAGAGAAGTGATTAGATTAAGAAAAGCCAAGTGACCTGTTTCGCAGGATCGTTCAGGTAAAAATCCATGCTGACTAGAGCTCAGAAGCCGATTAGCTAGACAGAAGTCAAGAATTTAATTGAAAATAGTCCTTTCAAGAAGTTTTGCTAGAGACGGCGTTTTGTGCACGCCCCGATAGTTATAAACATCGGATCGAGATCCTGACTTGAAAACGGGAATGATAATTGACGTTTTCCATGTTTCAGGAAAGAATCCCTTTGAAATCTAAACCGAGAATAAATGACTGAGCATTATGGGAAGGTCGGACGCTTGTTTAATAATCGAATTCGGAATCCCGTCCGTTCATGCTTAGAAAAGTATCCAAGCATGACTCTAACCACCCCTGTGCATGAAAAACGCCCAGTAAATCATTATATTTCTAAAAAAATTAAGAACCCTCTTCTTTTGAAGGACATCTGATTGCCAAGGCCGAAAACGACATGATATTCATTGATATCCCAAGAAAACGCAGAAACGAAGCGAACTCCGTCGTTGTCAAAAAGAAGAAGTTACATAAGAGAAGGAAAATTCTCCAGGTGCGCAGAAAACGATGTGATTCCTAATTAGTTGCCTGCTAATTATTTTATGTCTCTTAATTACTGACCGGTCTTTCGGCATGTGCCGGCATGAAATTATTATCCCTGCGACGTCCCCACCAGCTCTTCACGTTAATCAGCCTCGTCTCGAACGTTGGAGAAAACTAAATTTAACATAAAATGCTCGTAACCGAATGCTGAAACACCTAATCGGGTAGCCAACGGTCGATCAGCCATCATATCACATACCAGATGAAGTGTTAGAGGGCATTTACCCTGAAGATTATAAAGACGTTTATGCTGTTATAATTACTGATTTGTTTGCGTGGACGGGCTTTATGTACTTCTGCAAGGGAATTTTACTCACTTAGCAAGAGTTATTTTGGCTTTCGGCATTTCCGCCTTCATATAAAAATCGTTATTTCTGATCAACATATTTATTGATACACTCATTGGACGGAATGTCGTTTACTATTGAATGGGAGTCTTGGCGGATGCATTTGAGTCGGTTTCCGAGCGATGAGCCATCTTTCGTGAATTCAAGACATCGAATGCATGGAAACGAATTGAGTAGGACGAACGACAACTATTTTCCGCTTTAGACACATTGCCACTAGGTTTTAAACTCGAAAAGAGGCCGGAAATGTGCAGCGCTTAGGACCGACTGGAACCTTTTCAGAGATCCGTGATTCGTCCGCCGTAGCTGATGGTTTTTACGTGGCCGAAGGCGCCCAGTGATCAGACTAGACTGACGGAGAACGTACACAAGAGTGAATAGGATTATGACTACTGTTGGAGTCGCGTTGCAAGCAGATTTTTACTGGTTTTAGGACTTTCTCTTTATGAGCCAGCAAAATGTTTTCACGACTACAGCGAAAGGTGCCACTTGAAGTTACCACCCGTCTTGTAGATGGTCACTCGCTATGCTTTTAATCTGTTCAAACCACTGCGTAATGTGACCAGATTGAAGGTTGCAGGGACCGTAAAAATTTGGAAAACCTACATATGACGCAAGCGAACAGTGTCAACCAAACAATGACCAGCCCGTCAGCAGCAGAAGCAAATACTGAACTTGAAAGAAAACCAACAAATGTTGACAGTTTATAACGATGAAGATTTTGTTGCCATTTTAATGGATGAAATAAGGATAACACTATTGGTTATGACGGAAAACAAAGCGCAAACGTCCAAAATATCTCACTGAAAGGCACAATTGCGTGTCGGTTATACATCTCACAGCGGTTCTGGTTTCCACGATGGTTTTCGAGGCAAAGGGGTTGCCCGCATCAGCTGCGCTCTTGCAGACAAAGAGAAAAGTACAGTGCGTGTGGCACAAATCACTCTCGTTTGAATGCAAACTGAACCAACTGCCACGGATTTTCAAACATGTGCCGAAAACCGCTAAACGCTGACTAAAATCCCAGATCATACTTTTAAGTAGAAAGCCTGCTTAATTAAGGCCACAACAGTGGTAAGAATGGAATACACTTTGCACGTGATAGACTGGTTTCCAATCGGTTATTCGACTGGCGAAAAACCATTACTGAATACGCAGACATAATTTCAACGACTTATCTATGATGCGCTACGTTAAAATAAGTAATCCTGAAAGAGTTGTCAGGAGATTCACCCATCAGTTCCTTTGGAAGAAGTCACTTCGCATAGAAAATCAGCCCTGTGAAGAGGAGAGTACGTCTGTGCTTTATATTTTGAGAAGTTTGCTGGAATAGATGTGTATGCAGTCACACATACTCAGGTTTTCTACGAATGGCTACAAAGCATACAAATTGTTCCCACTAGAGACGAATATGCCGAATATCAAAGTGTTCCTCAATAGGAACATGAACTCCCTACAGAGGTCACTGATTAAGCCCAGAGGATGGGCCTTATAAATGCTCTCAATAAACAAAACCTTGCGCTTTCAGTTAGGATCGGGTTGGGGTTAATGTCAGCATTTAGGTTTAGGACCGGGTTAAGATTTAGGGCCAGAGTTGGGGTTGTGGTTTGGTCTAGGGTTTGGATTGAGGTTAGGATTAAGTTTATGGTTAGGGCTGGGGTTACTTTCCGCATTTAAGGTTAGGACTATGTCTAAAGTTAGGGTTGAGCTAAGGGTTAGGTTAGGGGTTTGTTTGATGTCAGGGTTAGGCCCGGGTTTAGATTACGGGTCAGGGTTAGGGTTAAGGTCAGTGTCGGGTTTGGGATTACGGTTGGGGTTAAGGTTAGGAGAAGCGCTAGAACTAGGGTTAGGATTAAGGTTAGGTTTGGGTTTCGGTTTGCCGTTCCGCTTTTGATCGATTTGAGGTTTTCATGAAGTTTCACGGGTTGGGTTACCCTCTGTCGGTGTTGCATGCTACGGTTGGAATGCCCCTCTCGTATTCCGCTTGCAGCGGCGCGCTCCTGTTCATTTCGTTCCTACGTCTTCCTCATCTTCGTTCGCTTGCGTTTACCGCTCCTCGGCCTCTGGTGGTTGGGCTTCCTACATAATATTCGCCTTGCAGTAGACTACATACGTGATGTCCTTGCGGTTATAGCCTGTACTTAATCGCTATTTCCTGCTAGATACGCTTAGTGTTATTGACGACGCCGTTCATCAGCCCATATATGTCGAATCCCTACCTGCGCCGCATCGTGATTTAGTCTTCAGTTCGCTTTCCATTCCTTTTTACAGGTTCAACCTCCCATCCCATTTTTCTTTGCTTCTACCATTGGCTGCATCACCATCCACCCAAGGGATAGTCTGTTCCCCTTACATTCCCTTTGGTCTTCCCAACTCGGCATAATAAAAGATTGGACATTAGAGACTTCTTTATTTGTAGAGTAGAAGTGGTAGGCATTCCGAGACGATATAATGAAAAAGGAAGAGGTTCTTCGGAAAAAATCGAGTTGTACTCGCGAATTTTCGAATTGGTGACACCAACCCGTCGTCAGACGAAATGAAGAGAGAAGAGAAAAGAGAGAGTGAGACAGTCACACTAGACCAATAGACGAGACAGGACAAACATTGACGGAAGAACCATTAGCGTGTGAGGAGGGATGCGGGTAGGGAGTCATGCTGGGTTCTGAGCCGGGAGGGTAGGAAGGGGGGGAACCGTTACGGCTCCCCGTGCTGGAGGGGAGGGAGAATGGTAGGTTGGCCGAACTGCGGGCGCCTGGATTAGCGGCTGCTGATGCGGCGTGGGGCTCGGCTTGGTGGGGCGTGATGTTAAGCCCTCATAATGGGCGTCTAGGTCGACGTGGCGGTTAATGCTGTCCGCGTTAGAATGCCATGCCTCTAGGAATTCTCTCGCCCGTTTTGTGTTGGCCGTGGCGATGACCTCGGTGTTATCCCAATTAAAACGGTGGTCGCACTGGAGTGCGTGTGCAAAGACGAGGGACAGTGGGTCACGGCGACGGACAGCTAGTTTGTGTTCACTAATACGAGTTCCCAGGCGTCGTCCTGTA